TATATATATATATATACATGTTTGTTTTTAACTGAAGTATTTTGTAAAAACAATGATGTAAACTTTGAAGAAATATGCAAAGGAAAGTTACATATTACCTGCATGCACTGTTCTTATTTGTTCCTGTTTTTCATAAAACCACAATCTGTTTTTTATTTAATGTAGAAAAAATAACTTAGAAAATTTCTACAGACAAGTTTTAATACCTTTTTCAGATTTTTTCTTCTTCTTTCTATTTCTAAACAAAAACCAAAAGATTACAATCACAAGATTAAAAAAAATAGATTTAAATCACAGTGTGGGAAGTATGGGTTTAGATAAACATGAATACCATACCATATGTGCTTATGCGCAGTATTTAAAAAAAACATTGTTTCCATAGTTATGCTTTGACATACTGATTTAATTTATTTCCAAGACTGAAATGGATCAAACCCAAAACTTCCTAGTGAAAAGAGGCCAGAACCCTGAGAGCAGACCTGAACATGTTGAACCAGAGACTCATGTGAGGGGTCAGTGGACCTCTAAGATGGAGTACACCTTGGCGGTGGCGGGACACATTGTTGGTCTGGGAAACGTTTGGAGGTTTCCCTACTTGTGCTACAAAAATGGAGGAGGTAAAAGTTTAATTTTTTTCTTACTTTATATATATTAGGCTGAAATGTGTGTTTTTTAGGTCTTAATAAAATGTTAACTTTGGTCAGAATAAAACAGTATTACTATTCCAAGGACTCCTTATCTTAGGCTGCTGTTTTGTTGCAGCTGATTTCAGGCGACACAGTTGGACTAACGGAAACTGCAGTTCACATGCAAATGATCCAAGCCCTGCTCTCATTAAATTATTCAAAAAACATTTTTATTCTCAAGTTTTCTGGTTTTCTGAATTTTACTATCATATAATGACTTTTTAAAGTTTAGCTATGGGTTTATTCAGCTGTGCTTTTTAGTGGCTAATTGTGCTACAACAGGGTTATATTTAAAACAATGACTGTTTATTCAATGTATTTAAGCTTCTACTACAGATGTATCCAATCACAAACATAAAACCTGAAATTTACAGTTTGTGGCCAGAAAAAAAAAAAGTTCCTCTTTTATGTATAATCAGGCACTAAATTAAGTCTTGTTGATGCGTTGCTGCATAATTTCCTTTTCCAAGTTAGATGAGCCTTAAAACCAACGATTGACAGCAATGAGAAGTGCAAGAACAAAAGTAAAAGTTCTTAATTGTAAAACTAAAAGGTACAGGGAGACAAAAGACAAAGATTGGCTCTGAGCTGAAGGGGTGACTACTGAAAATATATGATCAATTCACTGAATAAAATAGCTGCAAGGCTAAAATGCCCAATGTTTTTGTTTTGGTAGTAATATAGCACACTTGTATATGCTCTTCAACAGGGTATAACTGCATGTATTGTGTAAATTCAATTATTAGCTGCTTTATTGACTACCATTGACTACTGGCGGTAAAGAAAACAAAACAAAAGGAACACGTTCACATTTCGAGTACTGTTCTAAACTGTCAAAGAATCAACATTTTTTTAGTAATACCTGTATATCTTCTGTGTTCTGACATTGGTGAAGTTAATAATCAATGACATGTTTGTTTTTAAGGGGCTTTCTTTATTCCGTATGTTTTGTTTTTGTTCACCTGTGGCATCCCACTCTTCTTCCTTGAGACGTCACTGGGCCAGCTCACCAGTCAAGGTGGGATAACATGTTGGAGGAAAATCTGTCCCCTTTTTGAAGGTAGCTTGTAAACCTCATTCAAACATACTTGGACCCTGCAGCTCACGTGAAGTGACTCATATTTGTTCTTGGTGACATTACAGTGTTTTTGTTTCTCCATGAACACAATATTTGACATAATGTGACATGACGATCTTTCTACAGGCTTGGGTTATGGAAGCCAAGTGGTTGTTTTGTACACTGGGATGTATTACATCATCATACTGGCTTGGGCTTTTCTCTACCTGTTTTCATCTGCCAGGTCTGAGCTTCCGTGGGTGAGCTGTAACAACAGCTGGAACACAGGTAACAAATATTCATTCAGGATCTTTTACACGTGTCTTTTGTTTTCTTGGTTCATCTCAACATATTTTCTTTCATGAAAGATGCTTGTTTTGAGCATGGCCACAATAAAACATCCTCGCTGAATCTGTACAGGAATTCCACATCTTCTGTTGTAGAATTTTGGGAGTAAGTATCATACATAAAATCATCATGTTGGGGCCTCCTTTTTGTCCGTTACTCATTAAACGTTGTTACAGGAGGAGAATACTGGGGCTGTCAGAAGGAATCGATAAAATTGGAAATATTCGTTGGGACTTGGCCATCTGTCTACTTTTTGCCTGGGTGTTGTGTTATTTCTGTGTCTGGAAGGGAGTCAAGTCCACAGGAAAGGTATGGAACAATCTTAACGTTAGACCTTAATGTCTGATTTCATAGTAACCCTTCTCACTTTTCTGCATTAGGTGGTGTACTTCACTGCCACTTTTCCATATGTGATTTTGGCAGTGTTACTTGTTCGAGGTCTTACATTACCAGGAGCCAAAGATGGAGTTATCTTCTACCTCTACCCAGATCCATCCCGCCTCACTGACCCAGAGGTACTGGTATTACAAACTCAGCTGATTCTTTTTTTGAAGATAACCCAGTCTCCTGAAAATCATTCTTCTTTTATAAAGAGACGTCTGGTATCCCAGTCCAAACTTCCAACCATCCATCCATTACCTTTACTCGCTTCTTCCTTTCCAGGTCGCAGGGGTCACTGGTGTCACTGGTGCCCATGTCCAGCAATCACTGTGTGAGAAACAGGGTACATAACTCTGGACAGGTCTCCAGTCCATCACAGGGACACAGAGACAAACGAGAAACAACCATTCACTCTCTCACTCACATCTAGAGACAATTTAGAGTTACCAATCAGCCTAACATGCATGTTTTTGGTCTGTTGGAGGAAACTGGAGTACCCGGAGAAAACCTACGTGTGCACGGAGAGAACTTGCAAACTCCACCCAGAAAGGTTCCGAGCTGGGATTTGAACCGACAACCTTGTTGTTGAGAGGCAACAGCTGTACCACCTGAGCCCAATCCAAACTTTTAACTATTATGAGAAAAGAAGATGATCTTGGAAAGAAGCTGTTAGACAAAAACAGATGATTAATATTTTTTATTTTAAGGATAAATTTAAAACCTATTGTAAAGCACTATGTGAAACCCAGGTAAAGTCAGAAGGTAAGATAAAAATGAGGACCATTTTCCATTTAATTTGAGATGCCAGTTTTCCAAACTGTAGTGGTAAATCAAAGGTTCTGCCTTTTTGTCATGGCCAAACATAACATAATCTCTTAAAAGAATCGCTTGGGCCACACAGTGGATCACTTGGTTGAGCTGTTGACTCTCAGTAGTCGCCAGATCAAATCCCAGCTGGGGGTCTTTCTGGATGGAGCTTGCACGTTCTCTTTGTGCATGTGTGGCTTTGTTCCAGATACTTCGGTTTCCTCCTACAGACCAAAAACATGCATGTTAGGCTGATTGGTACCTAAATTGTCCCTATGTGTGAGTAAGAGTGTGAATGGTTGTTTGTCTCGTTTGTCTCTATGTGTCCCTGTGATGGACTGGAGACCTGTCCAGGGTGTCCTTCACCTCTTGTACAGTGACTGCTGGATACGGGCACCAGTGACCTATACGACCTGGAAGGAAGAAGTGGGAAAATATGATGGATGGATGGATGCAATAGCTTGGATTTAGTTTAAAGTGGGACTCTGGGGAGAATTATTTGAGCAGTCAACATGTTACCTGCAGCACAGCTCACTGAACAACCTTGATTTGTAGAACAATGTTCTAGTTTTGGGTAGACGACGATTGAGTTAATGGCTAGACCTAATCCAGGTCCTTCATGACCTAAACCATGAATTATTTACAGTAGATGTTCCTCTGCTTCAACCCATCGGATTTGAATGAATGGATGATTAACAACTTCTGTAAAACTTGAAGATGTAATTTACTCTCTTAATCAGATGTGTTGGACCAGGAAACCATGTAAAATATGATGGATAAGGACGCCGTTCAAAGAGATTAGCCAAGAAGAAATATGACAGTGAGAGGACCGAAGAGAAGAGACAGGAGTATAAGGAGATGGGACATAGAGCAAAGAGGGAGGTAGCTAAGGCAAAGCAGAGGGCGTACGATAAGTTGTATGGGAGACTGGACACTAAAGAGGGCGAGAAGGACTTGTACTGATTGGCAAGACAGAGGCATCAGGCTGGAAAGGATGTGCAGTAGGTTAGGCTTATTAAAGATAGGAATGATAATGTTCTAACAAGTGAGGAGAGTGTGACGAGAAGATGGAAGGAGTACTTTGAGGAGCTAATGAATTAAGAGAATGAAAGATAAAGAAGAGTAGAGGTCATAGAAACTGTGGACCAGGAAGTGGGAAAGATTAGTGAGGGTGAAGTCCGGAAAGCTCTGAAAAGAATGAAGAAGGGGAAGGCAGTAGGAACTGATGACATACCAGTGGAGGTTTGGAAATGTCTTGGAGAGATGGCAGTGAGGTTTTTGACGCAAATTTTCAATGGTATATTTGAGGGTGAGGAAAATGTCTGAGGATTGGAGAAGAAGTGTGCAGGTGCCCATTTTTAAGAAAAAGGGTGATGTACAGAGTTGTAGCAACTACAGGGGAATTAAGTTGATGAGACACATGAAGATCTGAGAGAGAGTTGTGGAAGCAAGACTTCGACGAGAGGTGAATATCTGTGAGCAGCAGTATGGTTTCATGCCAAGAAAGAGCACCACAGATGCCATTTTTGCTTTGAGGATGCTGATGGAGAAGTACAGAGAAGGTCAGAAAGAACGCCATTGTGTCTTTGTGGATTTAGAAAAATCATGACAGAGGGCCAAGACAGGAGGTGTGGTATTGCATGAGGAAATCTGGAGTGGCAAAAAAGTATGTTAGACTGGTGCAGGACATGTGTGAGGACAGCAGGGCATGTTGGACCGGTACAGAACATGTATGAGGACAGCAGGGCAGTGGTGAGATGTGCTGTAGGAGTGACAGATAGCTTCAAGGTGGAGGTGGGATTGCATCAAGGATCTTCTCTGAGCCCCTTATTGTTTGCTTTGGTGATGGACCGACTAACAGATGAGGTCAGGCAAGAATCCCCATGGACTATGATGCTTGCAGATGACATTGTGATCTGTGGTGAGAACATTGAACAGGTGGAAGAGAACTTGGGAGAGGTGGAGGTATGCACTTGAAAGAAGAGGAATGAAAGTCAGCCTTAGTAAGACAGAGTACACGTGTGTGAATGAGAGGGAGGCCGCTGGAACAGTGAGGCTACAAGGAGCAGAGGTCACAAAGGTGCAGGACTTCAAGTACTCGGGGTCCATTGTCCAGGAAAACGGGGAATGTGGTAAAGAAGTGAAAAAGAGAGTCCAGGCAGGATGGAGTGGATGGAGAAAAGTTTCAGGAGTGATTTGTGACAAAAGGGTGTAAGCAAAGGTCAAATGAAAAGTTTACAAGACAGTGGTGAGACCAGCTATATTGTAATGGTCTGGAGACAGTGGCTTTGACACAAAGACAGGAGAAAGAACTGGAAGTGGCAGAAATGAAGATGCTAAGGTTCTCCTTAGGAGTGACAAGGCTGGATAAGATTAGGAATGAGATCATCAGAGGTACAGCACAGGTTGAACAACTGGGAGATAAAGTTAGAGAGGCCAGACTGAGATGGTTTGGACATGTCCAGAGGAGGGACAGTGGGTATACTGGTAGAAGGATGTTAGAAATGCAGCTGCCAGGAAAAAGACAAAGAGGAGGCCAAAGAGGAGATATATGGGTGTAGTTAGAGAGGACATGAAGGTAGATGGAGTGAGGACAGAGGATGCAGAGGACAGAGTGAGGTGGAGGAGGATGACTCGCTGTTGCGACCCCTGAAGAGGGAAACGTCGAAAGAAAAAGAAGAATGGCCCTTGAGGATCAGGATTAAACACCCCTTGGCTAACCCAAGCGGATTACTGACATCAAACACTGAGAAGCAACTGAAGGTGGATGCATGGATGAATGGATGGATGTGTAGTGAACCTGATCTGACCCTGATGACCTCAAATCTATCAGATGG